GGAACACAAGACCCAGTTCAGCATGTATAAGGATATAGGATGGCAATGATGGTATATGGAGCTTTAAATGCTCTATTATGCAAATAGTTCCCAACAACTTTGAGGAAAGTTATGCAGGCTTGGTTTTCAACATTACCAAAAAAATCTATCTGAACCTTCGAGCAATTTGTGAATATATTTATTAATCATTTCATTGCCAATAGAACTCCTGGAAAAACTAACCATCATCTCCTAACAATCAGACATAAGACAGGTGAATCATTAAGAGCCTACATACCAAGATTTCATAATGAAGCTATGCAAGTAGAAAAATTAAACCAAGGCATGGCAATGCATACTCTAATGGATGGCTTGAGAAATTTAAGTTTTTATAAATCCTTGAACAAATGAAAACCAACCAATTTTAATGATTTATTGAAAAGAGTAGAAGGATATATCAAAGTAGAAGAAAGGGCAACGGTGAAAGAAGCACAAGAAATGTCAAAAAATACCAAGATATTAGAAGAAAGTCAAAAGCAAAAGGTAGAAAGAGATGTAGACAATAGAAGTTACAAAAATAAAAGGCAATCAAGTTACAAACTAAGGGAAAGGCATCCCTGTACACAAAACAATTCAAGGGATGTATAGTATTCACACCTTTAAATATTAGCAAGGCAGAAGTCTTAAGCGTGGCAAAGAAAACAAAAAAGGTGCAATGGCTTGCGAAATTGTCAACCCACCCAAGTAGAAGAGATTGAACATGCTTTTATGCCTTTCATGGGGAACAGGGGCATAATACAAAAGAATGTAACATTTGAAGATAGAAATCAAGAGATTAATAAGATAAAGGGCACTCCAGCAATTTGTCAAAAGGAACAACAACAGTAAAGAAAAAAAAAAGATTTGCATAGCGAAGGATCGAGTGAAAAGGAAAAGAAAGAAGAAGATTAATCGTTAGACGTCATAAGAGTTATCAATATTATAACTTCACCATCCGAAGTGCAAACCAAGGAAAAAGCCTCGCCAATGATGTTGGAAACAAAAAGTTCTTTAAGGAATGATAAAGCAATTAGCTTTAGAGAAAAAGACCTACAATAAAGAGAGGTGTTTCCTCATGATCCTCTAATGATTAAAGTAATAATTGAAGGTAGAAGCCTCATATTAAGAAGAGTGTTGATAGACATAAGAAGTTGCAAAGATATTGTAGAGATATACTTACATATGAAGCTTTTTAAAAGCTAGGATTCCCTACGCAATTTATGAGGCCCTATGATTTTCTTGTAGTTGGGTTATTTGGGAAAGTTAGAACAATAAGAATCATTACATTACCCTTTCATGTCAGTGGCATCTCTAAAAAAGCTATGATAACTCTAGATTTCTTTATCATAGATGTGCCATGCTCTTTTTTAACGCAATTCTAAGGAGACCAGGTTTGAACGCAATATAAGCGGTAGTTATCATAACCCAATTTTAATTGGGGCTAATTGATAAAATTAGAAGGCAATTGACTATTTTTATAAAAGCTAGAAACTTGATGGGCTGAGAGGAGAAAATGGCAAAACAGCATCGTTTTGACCAATGGGCTAAAAAATAAAAAAGGGGACGAACCCTAGCCCTCAATTTTCACGATTCTTGCTTCCTCTTGCTTTGCCGCCAACCACTCTCCCAAAACTCCCAAATTCTTTTGATTTATCTCTAAATCCATTCAAAGTTTAGATAGATCACGACAATACAAGAAGAGATTTTCGGATTTGAAGTCCTTATCAAGAACTGAAGAAGAAGTTTTCGAAGTCAATTTAAATGAGGAGTCCCGATCTTTAAAAGGTATGAATCTAGTCTTGAAAGAGGGAAAACATGTAAAAGTCTAGATTAGTTTTAGAATTCCAATTTCAAATAGGATTAGATTATTGTCTGTAATTTTGGAGATAGGGATTAGAATTTAGAATTAGAAAAAGATTGGAGTCTATCTTTGTTTTTGTATAAAAGGGGGGGGGGGCTTCTGCTTTAGGGAAGATCAAAAATTGGGAGGTAAAATCGAGAGAAAGAGGGGAAGAGAATTGGCAAGTTCTGAAGGAAAATTGGAGAGATTGAGAGGGAGAAAGAGAGCATCGAAGAAAAGGGGAAATATAGGAACTTGTATCCAGAACTTCAAGAAAATAAAGTCTGATTTTTCCTATTGTCTTCAGGTGTGCATTGTTCATTTTTTTTTTCCTTTCGGTGTTCTTATGTCATATTCTTTCTTTCTTCTTCCTTTCTTTGTTATTGGTAATTGCTTGGTTTCCCTTTTAAATTGTTTCTTTCATATCTGCAATTGATATTGAGAAATAAAAGGTAATGGTTGTCTTCGCTACAAACATGATTTCACTTGTTTCCTCACATTAGTTTGTTGACTGTAATGTAAAGTAATCGCTTGCGGAATTTTTTTTTATTTTAGTCAGTTTTGCGTTAATCTTTAGGATCTGAGATGCATTAGATAGGAAAAAAAAAAAAGAATCAAGAAAAGAAACTCTCTTAGGAAATATGTAGTGGGTTTAGGCATTAGAAAAAGGCAGAAACGAAAAGAAAGCCAAAGAGAGGAAAGAGTACATAAAATAAAATAAAAGAAACTCTCTTAGGAAATATGTAGTGGGTTTAGGCATTAGAAAAAGACAGAAACGAAAAGAAAGCCAAAGAGAGGAAAGAGTACATAAAATAAAATAAAAAAAAATAGAAACGAAAAAACGAAAACAAGAAAAAGGAAGACAATGGTGATTGTACTTCTATATCCTTTTTTTTTTAACTTCTTTTTTTGGTTATTATTATTGATAAGAAACAGAAATTAAAAAAAAAAAA